CAACAACAGATCATCATACAGTAGTATGATGAATCACCATGGAGGAGTGTATACTCCTGTTCTCATTTAATTCCTGTTGTGAATGTTTTGAATTTTTCATGCTGAAAATTCTGATATAGTGTGAAAATTCAGATATAGTGTGAATAGGTCCTAAACTAATCACTAAAAAGGCGAGAGATCGGAGGATGCAAATCTATGTGATGTTCTCAGTGATGTTAGACTCACTTGAGCCCTCTTCTGACACCATCCCAAGACCCTCGGCCTTATTCTGTCTCTCAAACGCATTCAGATCCAGAACACTGTCAACAAACAAAACGCCATATTTATATCATACATCTCCAGTCTGCCAAATACCTATAGTCAGCACTGCAGAAGACACTTTTTGTTGCAAATATTGCTATAGTTCAACATAATTATCAAAGAAATAATACTTATCATTTTAAAGTTAACAATAAAATAAAAGAAAGTGACGGCCATGTACCTGCAGGTTTGCATGAGAGCCTGTAGGCTGAGGAAGAAGCCCACATCTTTCTTGTCTTTCAGGTAGTCCAACATCCTCTGTCACAAGACATCAAGACACTTTTGTCAATGTTGCATTGAGTTAATCTGTTAAGTTTAGCATGGTAACTTCATTTAAGAAATTACACAGGTATATTACTTATACTAAAAGAGAGAGTACTATCAGCTGACCTGCTGAACATCACTGTTGCCACCATTGAGGATGGAGATGCCAAGTTTGAGAGTAGAGGACACCATGGCTCCAGTCTCACCTAAAACACATTACAAGAGACCAAAGCTTGTGTGATTGTTAGTCAAACTGGTAAGGGTATTTAAAGTATAAAGATCTATACTACAGTTCAAAAGTTTGGGGCCAATAAGATTTTTTGTTTTTGAAAAAAGTCCCTTATGCTCACCAAGGCTGCATTTATTTGATCGAAACTACAGTAAAACCACTAATATTGCTAAATATTATTACAATTTAAAATAAGTGATTTATTTGAATATATTTTAAAATTTAATTTATTCCTATGAAGGCAAAGCTGAATCCATTACTCCAGTCTTCAGTGTCACATGATCATTCAGAAACCATCCTAATGTGCTGATTTGGTATGTGAAAAATATTTATTGTTATTATGTTGTTTAAAACAGTTGTGCTGCTTCATATATTTGTGGAATCTGATTTTTTTTGTCAGGATTCTTTGATGAATAGAAAATTCAAAAGAACATTTATTTGAAATAGAATAGTTACTAAAAATACTAAAAATAGTTTTATCATGACAACTCTCTGAAGATTTTAGCATGGTAATGGATATGAAAATTAATGTATTTGGCGGAATAGATGTACTACGCTGCTGCTGCTGCTTATTGCTGTTGTTGTAGATTATTGCTGCTGCTGCTGCAAAGCAAGTACAGAAACTTACTACTGCCAATCCATACGCTGATACAGTGCTGTGAGTATTTAAAACATACTGCTGCTGCACAAATAACATATATAATAACTGTAGCAGATCTATACAGGTGGAGCTGGGGAAGGTGGGGGGTTTCAAAGGAACTCTGAAAGTGTGCTGCGAATTGCTGTAGTGAATGCTAACCAGCCATTTAAATGTAAAGCAGTAAGCTCATTGGCTGCGTATATAACATGAACCAATCAGCTTGTGCCAAGTAGTTCCCTTACAGTCGGTCACTCCGAGTCACGTCGGTGAGCGACGAATTGGGATCTCGCTTAGAGAGACCAATACACTTTGAGTGTAAACTAAACGAGCCAATGCACATTGGCATGCGATGATTGCATCCAGCTGCCGCCGATCGCAGCGTGAGTATAACTAGGCAGCAGGTGCAAAGCATATTTAGCTTTTCGCTTCGGAGCTGAGCGGTCATATCGTCCTGCTCCTGACTTCTGCTTTGAGGAAACGAGTTCAGCACGCTCTTTAGAGCTCTCGTGTTGGCGGAATGGCGCTTTAGCGGCGGTGGTTTTTTTCCCATGTTGAGTGGGTTGCACACATCAGGCTGCACTACCCCCCATTTGTGTTGCAAGCGGCCATCTCCTCTGTGTGCTTCAGCACATTAAAAGAGCAATTTCTAAAAGAGCATTCACGGGTTGACGTCTTTTTAAAGTAGCGTCTTTTTAAAGATGACTTTCCACCCGTGCGTTTCTTGATGCGGTCGTTACCTGGCGACAGGCAATGGTCACGATCGCTGCCTCACGTGTCTGGGCGTTAAGCACGCTGAGGCAGCGCTTGTGGACGAGTCATGCTCTCATTGCAGGAGGATGACCATCGCGGAGTTGCGGACCAGGCTCCGTTTCCTGAAAAGGGGCGGGGTTCCAGTGCCTCTGCCTAGATCTAGCGTTTCCCCTGGAAAGAGCCGGGGGGGGGACGCTACTTCTGGCAGTCGCCTGGCTGGTCTTATGATGACAGTGAGGAATTCCCCTCCGAGGAACCAAGCTCTGGGGGCTCCTCCTTCCACCGGCACTCCGCAGCCAGTGGAGCTGCCCAAGGAATGGGCTGGACCCTCTCGTGGGGTACCATTCCTATCCTTCGGTGCTCCCCCGAAGATCGGATGTCGATCGCTGCATCGGAGGGTGAGCCAGACCTTTCGGGAGATGATGATCAGGCGGATCCGGAAATGGTGGCTATGCTTGCCTGCGGTCGCCGAGAGGGTTGGGCTCAAGTGGAAGTCTCCACTGCGTCCCGAACCCTCCTTGATGGTGGGGCAGCGCGGGGGTATAGGGAAGTCCCTCCGGTGGAGCGGTCGGTAGCGATGCAATTGTGTCCAAATACCACTGCCACCTGGCGGGGCAAGCCGTCACTTCCCTCCCGGGCCTGTAGGTTCACGTCAGCTCTGATCGGCAGTGCTTATGCGGCCTGCGGGGAAGCTGCCTCCGCCTTACAAGCCATGCCGTTATTGCAGGTTCATCAGGCCAAGGCACTGAAGGACCTGCACGAGGGTGGTCACGACCCAGAAGTTCTCAGAGAACTCAGAGAACTACTGACCTCACGCTACATGCGACAAAGGTCACTGCGTGGTCTCTGGGCCATGTGATGTCAACTATGGTGGTCCAGGAGCGCCATCTCTGGCTGTGTCTGCCCAACATGCGGGAGACCGACAAGAGCCGGTTTCTTGAACGCCCGTGTCCCAGACCAGCCTCTTCGGCGACGCAGTGGAGAATTTTGCCCAGCAGTTCTCCGCCGCACAGAAGCAGACCGAGGCCATTAAGCACATCCTGCCCCAGCGTGCAGCTGCTGCCTCCACCCGGCTGCCGGCGGCAGCGCCTCAGTTCAGCTCCCGCACAGCAAACGCAGCAGCCTCCAGCAAAGCAGCGCCATGGAGCTGGTCGCAGGGAAGCCGCCCCGCCCGTCCAGGCCCCCGCCAAACCTGATGGCAAGTGGAGGAGCAATTTCAGGGGTGTCCACTTCACTTTAGTGAAGGCTGCAGATGCCCCTGTCTTATGTGCAGAGATCGCAGTCTCACTGGCGAAGGATGCAATAGAGCCGGTCCCTCCAGCCGATATGAAGACGGGGTTTTACAGCCCTTACTTCATTGTACCCAAGAAAGGCGGTGGGTTACGAGCGATCTAGGATCTGCGTGTCTTGAACTGGGCCCTTCACAAGCTACTGTTCAAGATGCTCACGCAGAAGCGCATCTTCGGGTGCATCCATCCCTGAGATGGGTTTGCAGCAATCGACCTGAAGGATGCGTACTTTCTTGTTTCGATCCTTTCGTGCCACAGGCCATTCAGAGCCCGTGTTTCCCCGACAGACTTTCTGCCTCTTGCAAGAGGGTTACAATCATTGCGTTAACGACCCATCTGCGCCATCTAGCGTTTCATGAAAGAACTTGGCATTTACTTTTTGTTTTTGTCATAGTCCAAATACATGTGTTGTAAGTGATTGTGCGTGTACCTTTGCAAGCACTGATCATCTGCAGAACCATTTCAGCCGCTCCGCGGTCATGTAGACGGGACTGCTGGTACAGAAGCCTCTGCTTTTCCATCTCCTTCTCCTATTAGATGAAAACAAACAGTCCAGTCATAATGATGCCGGGCTTTAAATACCCCTTCCCCACGACCATCCAACATACACACACACACACACACACACACACACACACACACACACACACACTCATACACTAAGCATTACACTATTTTTTATATAAATTAGTTATAGCTATTTTATATAAGTTCTATTTGACAAGAAGGATGATTAAAATTTCATCTAGTAAAGTTTAAAAAGTTCTATCTTGTAAAGTTTAAAAAAAGCTATTTTTGAGTTTCTATTTTTGGTTTCTCCCTGAATACCTGAGAAAATGTCTTGTATTAAAATTATTAATGAAAATGTGGTGAACTGACTATTTTTATACCAGTTTTTACTTCTTAATTAGCGCTTATGCTTGTTTTCTTCATTCATCTACATACACACAGCTTACACACTCTTTCTAATCCAAACCACAAGTGCTATTAGTCATGTGTCCGTTATTTGAGCCGTTCACGTTTGCTGACTGGCACAAACGTTAGACTACAGCAAGCAGACCTGCTCTCCCTGAACATTGAGGCACCTTTGTATGATACTACTGGCTCTTCCCTCTGTTTTAACTACATCATACAGCTGGGTGCTGTACTTTCTTACAAACCCTCACACCACGACTGCTAAATCAGCTTATGGCAGCAAAGTATGACATAAAAAATATATTTTTCAATTTATAAATAAAAGTAAAGTTGTGCTTCTCAATATTTTGCGGAAACTGTGATTTTTTTTCAGGATTCTATGATGAATAGAAAGTTCAAAAGAACAGCATTTGATTGAAATACTGTACAGATCTTCTTAACACTGTAAATGTTCAATCAAATTAACATGAATAAAATAGCTGAATAAAAGTATTATTTTATATTTACTTTAAAATGTTTATTTAATTTACCAACTTTTGAACGGTAGTGTATAAAAATTTATTTTTATGTTAAAACTACTAGTGAAAACCAAAACTAAAAGCATTTGAGTATACTACAGTATTGGCTACTTTTTAGAAGTTATTGTATAGTGAATTCTTGTCTGAGACTGTTATTCATTTTCAATGTTTTAGAGACTACTTAGCATATTGCATTGTATGTAGCATATTGTTACGGCATATTCACAACAATAATATATCTCACAATAAATGGAAGAAATTGTTCTCTGTAGAGTTGAACATTTATCGAAGTGACCCATTTGAAATTGGGTGGTGATGATACCCTGTTGACAAAAAGGATTATACAAGTACATACATTGCATCAAGCGGGCTGATTTTTAAGCTGAACCCACCCCTAAAAGCACCCAAGCATCCCAACCCCAGCATGAAGCCCCACCCACTCCCACCCCGCCCTGAGAGCCAGGCCATGTCCTACAATTTGTGTGACTTAATACTGTATTGATCATCTTTGTAATTAATTAAATGTGTGTTTTTTTACCTGTTGTTTTAGATGGAAATATGTAAAGCGTGTTCTTTCTGTAATGTGATGCTCTGAATGTGTTTGTGTGTGTCTGTGCAGGCTTTTACTGTAGTCTTTGGTGAGTACAGAGAAAAAGACTTGTTCCAATTCAAAACAAAGACATGGAGACACTTTTGGAGACACACAAGGTCATCACATACAGGCCTGATCTAAATCCAGAAAATTCTGTCAGCCTTCATAAAACCTTCACCACCAACACAGACATATTTATGCAGCCTTCAGGCCATGTCGCAATTATCATGATTACTAGATGACAACCCAGACATTTATTCTACTTTCTGTTACAATACTATTAAGGCCAAAATGAATCTGTGTAATTTGAGTAAACAATAGGTATTGTGGGCCAGATTTACTAAACAGGGCAAATTAGCGTTAGAGCGCAATTCCATAAAAGCACCGATGGGAGGGCAAAATTCTGCGGGTGATTTACTGACAATGCGCACATTAAAGAACACAGACAGATCATTTCCATAATGACCAGCGCAATCTACCAAGAGCAGTGCAAATTACCACCTGCTTTAAGATATGATTTTTGGGGCATTAAATAATGGTACGATCAGACAGATCATTTCCATAATGACCAGCGCAATCTACCAAGAGCAGTGCAAATTACCACCTGCTTTAAGATATGATTTTTGGGGCATTAAATAATGGTGCAAATACTAATAATTTGACAACCGCAAATGTTAGTAAATCGCGTTGTGTGATTCATTTTAATTTTTATTTTGAGTCTGAAAGGGAAACTCCTAGAAATGCATATTCAATAAGGTCAGGCGCACAAATAACTGTCCACGCCTTTTCAGCGCTTATTCTTCACTGCGCACCTTTAGTAAATCTTGACAGTAATATTTTAACGCCAAAAGATGGTTTGCACTGGAGCAAGCTATTAGTAAATCTGGCCCTAAGTCTTATGTTTTTTTTTTTATTATTCTTGCATTATTTAGATATTAACAATAGACAATAATAATTATTAAACATACTGTAAATATTCTAAAAACTACATTTTATGGTTGAAGCCATTTATGGTTGAGCATTTCCAAACCATTCTGAAGGGAAAGTGTAACTACTTTTTGAGGCGGCGATTTTAGATAAATTCATACGATGAGGATCGTACAAAAACCATATGATTTTTAGAAAAAAAGCAAGCATGTCTCGTACGACAGTTAGCAGAATCTAGACATTATGGTTTATAAAGTTTTAAATATGGTTATTTTTCTTACAAAAAAGCAACAATTCACTTCACTTCAATTCACTTTATTTACCCCCGTGTGGAGTACTTTTTATGATGGATGGTTACACTTTATTGGACTTCTATTGGACTATTGAATATCAACACCCATTCACTGTCATTATAAAGCTTGGAAGAGCCAGGACATTTTTAATATAACTCCGATTGGATTCATCTGAAAGAAGAAAGTCATATACACTTAAGATGGATTGAGGGGAAATAAATGAAGCGGTAAATTTCATTTTTGGGTGAACTATCCCTTTAAAATGCTGCGTAGGTTATCAGCTCACAAGGTTATGGAATTGAGCAACTGAAGCTCCCACAACCTGAATCTTTTTGGCCAGGTGAGAAGGTGAAGATATATTTTCTGAATTTAAATCATATCAGCAAGGACAAAAAAGTCCTTAGGGTTAGTAGATCAGTAAAACTGTGAGATACAAAAGATGCAGACAGAATGGAAAACTACAGGCGACTGCCTACAAACACAGAGAAGAAAGGGTTCTGGAGAGGTGGGACTGGTAATGTATTAGGAGACCAGTTAAGGTGTTTGGTGAGTGTGTGTATGAGTGCGTACTTAAATCTCACACACAAACACACACTCCAGAAATCATCAACAGCACTAATAATACACTACTCTAAATAGCCTGAGAGAACAACAATGCTGTTTTGAGGGCTGAGGCAGCCTATTTTGCTAATATTTTGCATTATTGGCCTCCCAGCTGGGGAGAAAGTGCTAGAAAAACTATTCACACCTCTATTAGCTTCCTGTTTGTTGTTGCCAGTCTACAAATGAAGCCAAATTGGTCAAAACTGTGATGTGTTCAGCATGTCTTGTTCTGTTTTTTTTTTTCTCCATCTGTTTTGTGTGCAGCCATCTCTCTGCACTCGCTCAAGTCATGCAATAACACAAAGATAAACTGTTAAAGAGACAAAGACTCAGAATTCAGCAAAGGAGTGCACAGATCAGTCCACAACAGGTATAAAGAGAAAAGAGAAAGAGAGACAGAGGAGAGCTGAAAGGATGAGAGGCACAGTAAGAGACATCGAGTGTGCGGGGTGCAGTGATTCTGGACGTGTTCACTCAGTGCGTGTCAGGAGCTGTAGCTGTAGGCTCCGCTGACTCCCATGGCCCCAGCCCCAGGCCCCCCCATACCATCTCTGTCTGTCGCACCTCAAAGGATGGCTCCTCGCCCCCCTCCTCTCCCCCTTCGTCCTCCTCACCAATGTGGCAGCTCTGAACAGAGAGATACGTAAGGTTAGCTCGCATTACATCTTTAAACAAAGGCATAAAAGTCTTAAAGTTAGATTCATGACTTACTTTTGCCATTATATCAGCGTATGACATATATAGATGATCCACTTCAAGTTTACTGCAGTGAGGATGAAAAAATGTCAGAAATATGATCAGTTTGACTGCTATCTGACTATTTAGTTCTAACACAATCAGATGAGTTCAAAAAAGTGATTTTTTTAAATGAATTGAGCTGGATTATTATGTCAAAATGAATGAACTTTGCAACATTAGCCCCTTTCACAAATGCAGTCTTTACTGGTAAATTACCATTAAGAGATAATGTGTGAACAGGACCTTTTCAAAAATACCGAACGAATGCCGGAACCAATTGACCAATATGAGAAGTTGTAATATTACCAGTAAATTACTTGTAATGTGTTCTGTGTGAACGCAGAACAAGATTGCCGGTATGAGCATGTACGAATTCAGAACCCGCTGACGTAAGACATCTACTCTGGGCCAATCATAACATTCTGATGCAGATGACGCATTTACTCTGCGCTGTGTAGTTCGGTTTGAAGTCATCTAATACGATGTCTCTGGGCCAAATGCAGCTGCATGAATGTGAACATTTGATAAAAATAAAAACATCAACAAAAACACTGACTGCGTATACCCCTCCATGTTTACAAACACAACACCAGGGGGCGCAGCTGTTTAGAGGTCATTTCCAATAATGATGTCACAGAATTTACCGGTATTTTGAAATTGATGTGTGAACGGCGCTTTACTGGTAAAATGACGGAAGGTCCTTGCCTGTGTGAACAGTGCATTTTTGTATTTACTGGTAAAGTCGTTTCGGTAATTTTACGGCAATTTACTTGTATTGCGGTGTGAAAGGGGCTATTGACCGTCATTAAACTGAGCTGAATCAATATTGAAATTTCTTGAGCTGAATATTAATACTATTGCCTTCTGTAGAGCTGCTTTACAGCTGAACTGAATTTAGTATTTGATTATCTTAGCAACATTGACACTGTTATTAAACTAATTTAAGCTCTTAGTTCAACATTGAAATAATCTGAAATTGAATAATGACAATGTGGAGCTGTTATTAGCTGAATTGAATTTCTTTCATAATTGACGAACGTTGCAACACTGTTATAAAAACTAAACTGAATCAACTTTGAACTAATTTGAACTGAATATTTGCAACCGTCTTCGGTAGAGCTGCTTTACATCTGAAATTAAAGTGATTTCATAATTGATCAACTTTGAAACACTGTTATTTTTCCTGTTTATTTCTGTGTATTATAAAAAGCGCTACATAGAAAATTGTGACTTTACTTAAGAAGAAATCCTGTCAAGAAATCCCATTCACTAAACCACAGAGCCATTTGCTTACGCTTTCTCGGTGAGAGCTGTGCGGCTAAAGTGAAGGATGAGCTGATGAAGGGGGTCTGGTTTTGATTCGGTTTCTTCCTCTTCTTCTTCTTCCTGCTCCATTGCTTTCTGCAAGAAACAACACTGAACAAACTACACTCAAGAGTGTGTACTCAGGGAGTGTAAATGGATATACAGACTTACAGATAAGTCATCGATCATCTTGTCTTCAAAAGAGTAGCCCTCATTTTCAATCCAATTGCGCTTGTAACCATTAAGGAACATGTTAGATGCCCGGTGCCTGAAATAAAAGGAAAAATAAGTCTGTGCATCCCACTATACTCCTGGACAGCATTAAAGTAAGGTTATATGTGTCTTACCTAGGGATGTTGTACAGCGGTGTCATTCTGAAGCAGGCCACTACTGCCCTGCGACGCTGTTTGGACAGAAGCTTGTGCCAAACCATCTTCTTGGATTTGAATGGATGCTCAGTCTGAAGGAAGACAAAGAAGAGGAAGAAATGGCTTAAGATTGAGGAAAATAAGCATGTAACTTCATGTGTATGTGGAAACAGGCCTCACCAACTCAATGTGGTAGAGAACAGCCGAAACTTCCTGAACTCTCTTCACAACCTTCTCTGGTACATCAGCGTCTTCAGCTTTACCTGAGGTCTCCTTATACAGAGCTATCTGCCAGCGCATAGATGGGTCCTCAACCTACAGACAGACAGACAGAGATGTGTACTCACAGACACTTATACTATACTTAAGATGTTTTCTTCACTTGGCTGTGTCTGTACTTACCTTTCCCTGTAAATGCAGGTTATTCTGCAGAAACTCCCTCACTTCTTCATCGGTGTCTTTCTGTAACATTCAAATCACCAAAGAGTCAACAAAATTCAATGCACACTATCTTTCAAAGGTTTGGGGTAAGTAAGATTGTTTTTTAAAGAAATACTTTTATTTTTTTATATTCATTTTTTATTTAGCAAAGATGCATTAAATTGATCAAAAGTGACAATAAAGACATTTATAATGATACAAAAAAATTATATTTCAAATAAATGCTGTACTTTTAAAATTTGTATTCATCAAATGACCTTAAAAAAAAATTATGATTGTATATTAAGTATATGAAGTATATTAAGCAGCAACTGTTTTCAACATTGACAATACATTTTTTTTTTGAGCACCAAATCAGCATATTAAAATTATTTCTGCAGGATCTTGTGACACTGAAGACTGCAATGGCTGCTGAAAATTCAACTTTACCATCACAGGAATAAATTACTATTTAAAATATATTAAGATAGAAAACAGCTATGTTAAATTGTAATAATATTACACAATATTACAGTTTTACTGTATTTTTGATAAATGCAGACTTGCGGCATTGTTTCAAAAACTTTTGAACAGTAGTATAAGAGTTTTCTTGTGTTGTTTGGCAGTAAATCAACTATCCTAATCAAACTATATGGCTAAACATGTGGCTAAATACCAGAGAGTAGCGGATCTTGGCCATGTTTATGAGCTCTTGGTCTGCAGGGGAGCACATGTTGAGGCCGATGGGGAGCAGTTTCTTCAGGGCCGCTACAATCAGCGAGGTCTGAACGGAATAACGGTCCCCGCGGCGCTTCTTCTTGGCCCGCTCAACATCTGAGCCTCCACCCTATAAAAACTCTGTAGAGTTAGACTGACACAAGGATGCTCTTACCTAGAAAGACAGGTTTGTGCCACAAACAGGCTGTTTTGGGAAAAGAATATGGATTTGTTGTAGGAAAGACTGATTTTATTGACAAAAACAGTCTTTAGAGGGATGTTTTCTAAGTGAATAATGTGAATACAGAAACAATTCTCTGTAAACATCTCCCTTCTGTAAGTGTCTTGCTTTCTGAATAGTTGATGATTAGCTACAGCTTTTGCATTGTTAAATAATGTGTTAATGGTGGCTATTTTCTATGTTTTATAGATTAACAAGGAAATGGGGGAATTTACCAAACTAGCACTGAGGAAAAATAACACCATGCTTCAAGGACATGTTTTATCAGTCAGTCTATTAGGAAATATTAGAGCTAAACATACAGCAGTCTCATTGTTAGTGGTGTAAGGTTGCCAACCCTTTAGCACTGCACACTTAAAAACAACACTAGGCTTTGGGGCCGCTCCATCTCTCACACACTCTCTGAGTCTGTGCCTGTAAGACGTCATTAATGACTGTTGCCTTCTACAACAAGAGCTCCCTCTGGCCTTTCAGCATGAGATGAGATGCAAGACAAAAGCAAAATGAAGATGAGAAGAGACTAGACAAGACGAGACATGAGAGGAGACTAGACAAGATAAGAGGAGAAGAGAGACGAGACTAGGGCTGCATATTTGGGGGGGAAAAAAAATCAAATTGTGTTTTTTTTTTTTCTGACAAAAACTGTGGTATTTATTCATTATTTTATTTATTTAAAAATTTAATTTAATTTAATTTAATATAACTTTTTAAAGAGCTCCAGGTTTGCTGTGCCTGTTTGTAGGGCTGCAAAATAGAGTTCGGCGGCTATGACGTCAAGACCTAGAAGACTAATTTGTCCCTGGTTCCCTCTGTTTTTTTGTCTATGGGTTTTTGGGGTTTTAAAATTCATGAGTGAAATAAGGTCTGTGGTAAACATAATTGGCGATACGTTGATGTTTTGCTCTACAACGTCAATTACACACACACACCCATACTGTAAACGTATGATAACATAATAAAAAAACATGATTTTTGAAAATGAAAAAAAAACAGAGTTGTCTGTTTTTGCAGATAAACTCTTCATATGTTTAATAAGTAACTACAGAAGAACTGTACAATTTACACTGTACAACAAAATGCCAAACTACCGTCAATTTATGTTTACCACAGACCTTATTTTACTCATGAATTGAAAAGCCCCATTTTAAAAATCTCAAGAAACCTGTGGCAAATTAGTCTTAAAGGTTTTGACGTCAGAGCTGCAGCACTCCCTTTGTTAAAAAATCAGTGAATATATATCAATATAACTATATAAGTTATATATAAGTAAAATAATATTTACTAACATCTTTATAATTGATATATAACAAAATATATAGAAGAAATCTTATTGTAATACAATCAATTCACTGTAGAGATAAAAAATATATAATAATTTTATTTTACAGTACTGTAAAATTACAATACTAATATTTGTGTCTTATTTTCTTCATGTTCAGATGTTAAACAACTGAGCTTTTATTATATTATAAATGCTTCTCATTTAAATTCTGGTAACATTTTGGTATGTGTTGCATTTTTAAATGCATATTATAAAAGATGCAAACTTCAAGATTTTAGTATCTCACATGCAGAGATGGAGACACTAAAAACACTGGCTCATGAGCTGCTCGCGTGTAAATGAACACAGTGCTAAGCTTTACTCTGAAAAACAGTGCATATTGATTATTTTAGTAAATCACAGTCATTGCGATTTGATAAACACATTTGATAACCATGTTCAATTTTATTTCAATTAATCGTTTAGCCCTAGATAAAAGCAGATGAGACAAGCCAAGAGAGGAAAACAAGGAGAAGAGACATGAGAAAAGAAGAGACTAGACTAGATGAGATGAGAGCAGATAACAGTAGGGAGATGAGACCAAAAGAGATTAAATTAATGTATTCTGAGGCAGAGAGGGGCACCCATGGAGAGGAGATAACAGATGGTGCTACAGTAATGGCCGCCTCACAGCACAGAGGAGGAGGTGGTATCCTGCAAAGTGAATAGTATCATTGTGCTAGCTAACACCTAACAGAGACAAACTTTTTAGGGAAGTGAGCAAGTGAGTTGGGTTTGGGTAACATGTCAATTAATAACTTGTCAACAGAATGGACACAAAAGTCACATTAATCAAATGTAAGAAGCGGAGAGTACCATTTAATTGGATACAGTGAATTAAACAAGGGAGGGAAATATTAGATGAGAGATGTAATGAGAACTGTTCCCTTTATAGGAAAAGTCATGTTCCCTCCCTACATTACCAATGTGCTCATACATTTCCCTGAAATCTGTGAAGATTAAGTGATGGGTAATGGTTTGACAATGTATTTTTGATAATGAGTTTTTTTGCTCCTAGTGAGGGAGCATCACCACCAGAACTTGTGGGGAAAAAACAGTAACATCAAACATTAACATCAAACTGGACAACAGCACTAAAAGAAAGAAAAGGAACCAGACAACTCTGCAAGAACTTGCAGCAGTCAAAATCCATCAGAGGCACATCAATCAAAATCACTGTCAGGACGATGGAACTCAGATCCAGCGAGAGTTAAAGATCCAGCTGAAAAGGGGTGCCATGATCCTGAGACTAAAGTCTATGGCTTAGGGCTTTCATCAAACAAAGTACCAACAAACCTCACACACACTGGCAATGAATGAGGGTATGGACTTCTGGCTGTTGTGTATATGTGTGTTTGCCAGTGTGTGGGAGTTTGATGAAAAGCCCTGCTTGTGGGCCATGCGATCAGCACAGCTCTTTTTTATCGTGCAGAAACGCGTTCTGACCTCTCCGTCTCCGGCCTACACACCCCGAATCCACAGCGAGACAGGACACAGAGAGAGACAGCTCTATTAAAACTTAAACCCTCACAGACAGGAAAAACATCAATGGATCTATAATCCCACTGTTCTATAAACACCGTGTCTGTCCTGAACAGGACATGAGGTCAGCAGTCGTCTGAAGAAATGGAGTTTTAACAAATCTAACCATTTTCATTTCATTAAAAAAATTCTAGAAACCAATTATTAAATAACATTTTGACATGATGGAGAACGTACACAACTTTTACATGTAACGTTTAAACTCAAATGTCAATTTTGCACAGATGTGAGCAGCAGTAAGTGGACAAACTCACCATGCTCATCTTGCTTTTGCTGTCAGCAGTGAGGAAGGACATGTTGTTGATCTCATTCATCACCACAAAATTCTGCTCCTCGCGTTTGAAATTCTGTAAAGAATAATAAAATAGTTATTAGAAAAGTGGAAAGAAATGGGAGGAGTGACAAGAAGAGAGAAAAGGAGACAAGAGAAGTGAAAGTACAATAAACAAGAGGAGACAAGATGAAAAGAAACAAAATGAGATATGAAAAGAAGTTAAAGACGTGTTGGAGGAGACAAGGAGACAAAGAGGCGAGAAGAAACTAGACATGAGACAAGACAATGGGATTTTAATTATAGAAAGGGAATAACAGACTTACGTGAGATTTGGACCAGAAGATAAAAACTTCTCCAACCATCCTGAAGAGGTCCTCAGCATCAGGGTCAGGACAGGTCAACCACCTCGCCCTTTAAACGACAGAAAGAACCAAATCTCCAGAACGACAGTCTTAAGGGTCATTCACACTAAGGATGATAACTATAACAAATAACCATAAAGTTTTAATAAAGGTTATAATTCTATGAGAATAGGGAAGTCCACACCACAGCTACAGAGCAACAATATTGTTTTAATCACTTTAAGAATGATTTTTTTCCCAATAATGTTGTAAATAATGATCGTTTGGCTTCATAAGACCTCAGTATATTGTCAGAAGCCACAGATATTAATCTTGTTTTGCTTGTTTCTTTGTAAGCCGTTGACTTGCTTTTTATGAATCACCAAGGTACGGTGGCCCAGTAGTGCACAACACAACAAAGTCTCCACAACACAACGGAAACAAGCCACGACACAACAGAAACAAGGCGCAACACAGCAGAAGCAAGCGACAACACAATGAATGAACAAAACACAACGTAAACAAGCCGCAAAACAATGAAATTAGCACAACACAATGGAAACAAGCCGCAAAACAATGAAATTAGCACAACACAATGGAAACAAGCCACAACACAACGGAAACAAGCCACAACACAATGAATTAGCTAAACACAACGTAAACAAGCCGCAACACAATGAAATTAGCAAAACACAATGTAAACAAGCCGCAACACAATGAAATTAGCAAAACACAACGTAAACAAGCCGCAAAACAATGAAATTAGCACAACACAATGGAAACAAGCCGCAAAACAATAAAATTAGCACAACACAATGGAAACAAGCCACAACACAACGGAAACAAGGCGCAACACAGCAGAAACAAGCCACAACACAATGAATTAGCTAAACACAACGTAAACAAGCCGCAACACAATGAAATTCACACAACACAATGAAAACAAGCCCCCACACAATGGAAACAATTTGCAACACGGCGCAAACAAACCACAACACAACAAAACTCCCCACATAAAAAATATTATAGTAATTTATAGTAAATACTATAGTATTTTTTAACCATACTATAGTAAAGTGTATTATTCTGTATATATTATAGTATTTACAACTATAACTTTGTTAATGAATGCTACAGCATACTGTAGTATTAACTATAGTGAACTGATAAACTGTAATAAATACTGTAGTATACTTTAGTTTTTACTACAGTAAACTGTAGTGTATTGTAGTATAATATACCCTATAGTTGTAGAAAGTACAATACTTAGTACAGTATTGGGTAAAGTCATTTGTTTATATTACTATATATGTTATATTACCACAGCAACTATAGAATTACCACAACAAATTAATTCAAGTACTTTACTATAGTATGGTTCAAAAACACTATAGTATTTACTATAAATTACTATAGTATTTTTTCATGTTGTTCACACAACACAATGGAAACAAGCCAGAACACAGCGAAATTAGCATAACACAACAAAATTAGTCTTATGCGGTGTGTTGTGGCGATTTTGTTGTGTTGTGGAGATTTCAGTACGTTGTGCACTACTGGGCCATCATACCAAGGATCTTGGGTTCAGCTAAATCTTCTGTTCTACTAAAGAAAAATAAATCACCTACATCTTGGATTTTCCTTGGATTGCCTTCCTTGTGAGTAAATCAACAGAACATTTTTATTTTGTGTGAACTATCTCTTTATGTATTTCAAGCAGCAGACTACATAACTGTAGCATGCGCTTATAATAAACAACGTTATCGTCTGTTGGTTTGGATGCTAATACAGTTATTGTTCTTGGTGTGAAAGGCCTTTACTCTGCAAAGACTTCAAAGTGTCAAAATGTAAATTTCTTGGTGTTCTTGTAACAAAAATAAAGCCTAAAACGGTACCTGGACACCATTGGTGTGGACGCTAATATAGTTATTGTTATTGGTATGAATGGGCTTTACTACTGCAAAGGTTTTAAAGTATTTGAAGTTACTTCGGTTGGTAATCTCGTAACAAAAATAATACTTGAAATAGTACTTGGACCATAAAATCTTCCTGCGGATGAGAGATACCTGTTGTTGTCTACGTATCGGATGAGTAGCGGGTAAAGAGCATACAGATCCCTGCAGAGCACAGCAAACTCATCACGAATGGTTCCCTGCTCACTGTCCACCTCTGCCTTCCCCTCCATACGCAGCTGATCCTCCTCGGCCACCACCTTTCCACAACGTTTCTTCAGCTTCTCCATGGTGGGGATGAAGTGGGACTTGAGCATCTCAGGCTTTGCCCTGCTCACAATGGGCTGAGCAAACACTGCGGAGGAATATCAAGAGGAACTCCATAAGTAAATTCCTGGTATTGACTGCCATTTTTTGAAGACTCCATGTTTAGTTTCCACTCACCTGCCAATCTCTTCATCCAGGAAGCTTCATCAATGCCCAGATTATTGACGACAATCTTCATGATGCTACCCAGGAGCTGATTGAGTTGTTCCGAGGTGACATCCGTGCACAGAAGGTCTTCCTGCTCTGGGAAGTTCTCTGGTCCTCTCTCCCACCAGCGGGGCAGATAGTTGCACAGCATGGGCAGGGTGATCTCAATCACGTGGGGCATCTCTGTGTAACGGGCCCCAGACTCTGCCAGATCCCCGATCTCTTTCATCAACAGGTCCAGCTCAGGGATGTCCAGACACAGTTCCTGCACTTGACTGGGCAGACCCAGGACTAAAAAATGGATGATAAGGCAGTTAAGGAAGCGCGAGTTGATCATAACACCTACTGTATAGATGGAATACATTCAGAGTGAGCTACTGACTTGTTCTCTCTCGTGGGGTTTTGGTAGTGTACACCGAGTATGTGTTGAACTCGTTGAGGAGAGGCTCCAGAAATGCAACAGGCATGGCAGCAGCCAGATGAGCCAGACATTCTCCTAGAGCTGGTCTTTGGCTGTGATATCGCAACAAAAACGTTCATTAACATAACACATTCGGTAAAAATGGCTCATATAGATAAAAACATGTATATGCAAAGCTGCTTCTTACTTCTCAGCATGAGGGGTCTTTACAGTGCCCAGGGAATAGATACTGCACATGATACGGTAACAGGATATCTGCAAGTCATCCACTGAGTGATAAAGGGAGAGATACACAATATGAGGGACAGTGAGTGATCTACCAGATATAACAATTACAATATCACAATTATTTGCAGATTTTTTCTAATTGTGTTATGTTTTAACTTTCGATTCATAATGTTACCTTATACCAAAATACCTTAAGTATTTTGTTGCCGAGTTTCTGGAAATTAAATTAAATTAATAAATCATTAATTCAATAATTAGGTAATACTACTTATTCATGCCATTTACACTACTGTTATTTTACTTTATTTGAATAAAATAATAAAACATTTAATATATTTCATTTATAATATTAAATTTATTTATAATATTAAATATAACTATATATATCAATATATTACATTTAATTACGCTAAAGAAAATTAAATTCGATACCTACTTATTTACACGATTTATACTTATTTTAACTGAATTAAATTGTATTAAATTAAATTACATTCAATATTATTATACTAGTAATTTACAGCATTCATCATTTAAAATTCTATTAATTAATCATTAATCATTAATCTATTATAATTCTATTCATTAAAAAAACTTGCTCCTTTTAGACTTGTACTCTAGCTTTTTCTTTTCATTCTTTTTGTATTCTTTTTATTTATTATATAATTTAAAAAAAAAAACCTTGCTACGTGTACTGCGTTAAGCTAACTGAGACTTGTTATAGCACTTGCATATCATTTCTCTTTTGTTGATTTTGATTGCTTCCATTGTCCTCATTTGTAAGTCGCTTTGGATAAAAGCGTCTGCTAAATGACTAAATGTAAAATTAAATTAAATTAGATAATATTACTGATTTACACCATTTATTATTGTACTTTATTCAAATTAAATTGCATTTAAATTACTTATGCCATTTTCACTTTTGCTATTTTACTGTTTTTTTTTTTTACGTCAGTGAAGCACACTAAACTGAAACTGAATTGGTAGAAAGACTAAAATAAGCACAGCCTTTTCAATTTAATTCCTCCCACATGTTAATTATTACTGTAATTAATTCATGTAAGTATAAACTAAGTAAATGTATTCTGCTATTTAAGCTGAATTTAGTAAAGTTAAAAGACTCTGTTGAAACCTATGAAAATAACTCACACATGACATCATCTCCAAACTGGTGCTGGGCGATGTGGTCGAACAGAGAGGTGAGCACTGGCAGAAGAGCAGTGGTGGTGTAGCTAATGTTCTGAGATACACCTTTCACCTGTTAGAGACAGAGAGAGGCAGGGAAAGAGGCTCAATTTAACAACTTTGACAAAGAGCAAAGGGACATCTCGGAGAACAGGGCTATATTTACATCTGACCTGGTTTTTGGTAGACACTTTCCCCAGTTTAAGGTTCTCAACCATCTTCTCAATATCATCGGCAGCACTCTCAAAGAAAGAGCGCAGACCAGCCTTCACAATCTCAGGCCCAGATTTCATCACAGTTCTGGAAGAGAAAACAAAATAAAAGACAAAAGACACAAATAAAAGAATAGTAAGCATGAAATTTACTTCATAAACATAAATTAAAGGGTTAGTTCACCCAAAAATGAAAATTAGTCCATTAATTACTCACCCTCAAGGCATCCTAGGTGTATATGACTCTTCTTTCAGACGAATCCAGTCGGAGTTATATTAAAAATAGTATTTGATCATCCAAGCTGTTTAATGGCAGTCAGCGGGTGTTGCAGTTCATCAGTTCAAAAGAAGAGAAATAAAGTGCATCCATACATAATAAAAAAGTGCCTCACATGGCTGCGCGGGGTGAACAAAGGCCTCCTGTAGCGAATCGATGCGTTTTTGTTATAATGTAATAATCAATTTAATCTAGCTTGCGCTCACTGTTGTACACGGAATGACGTAGGGCGTCGGCATTGTGAATGCACCGCTCAGAAGTGACGAACGCGGAAGCGCAGGGGAGAGATCAAAACAAAACAACGGTCACGAATTAGAAGTACAAAACGAGGATTTGTAAAGAAGAATGTCGGAGGATTTCGATATAAGCTAAAAGGAGACTGGTTTTCCTTTGCTAAAGTAAGGAAACTTTGCTTCCTTTGCTCCTGTAAACAAACGTTGGTTTTCACGAGACTCACCGGCGCATGCGCAACTCCGACATCTTACGTCATCCGCCCGGAGCTGCTTCCGTCTACAACTGTTGGTGCTAGCTAGATTAAAGTGATTATTATGTTTTGAATATGGATATTTTGCTTACTAAACCGCATCAATTCGCTACAGGAGGCCTTTGTTCACCCCCCGGAGCCGTGTGAGGCACTTTTTATTATGGATGGATGCGCTTTATTTCACTTCTTTTGGACTGATGAACCGCAACACCCCCTGAATGCCATTAAACAGCTTGAAAGATCAAAGACCATTTTTAATATTACTCCGATTGGATTCATCTGAAAGAAAGAAGTCATATATGCTTGAGGGTGAGTAAATAATGGACTAATTTTCTTTTTTGGGTGAACTATCCCTTTAAGGATGTAAACATCAGTAAAACACAGGGAATCATGTGGTCAATAAACATACCTGGCATCCAGTGAGCGGGAAAGAATATGGAGACAGTTGACCACTGCTGAGGCATCAGTGCCTGCATACACAAACATTCTGAGCATGACACAGGCCTTTTATGTTCACCCACAACATGTGGACTGAGGATACTATGCTACAATATATGACACGGCTATAGCATGAAGTGATAGAATTAAGCCAGAGCAGATATTCTTCAGAAGTACAGTACTCCTATGATAATGATTCTTACTATAGGAATACTGAGCCAACACTGCAAATAACGCACCAACGAAAGCAAAGCACAGCAAATAATTAGACAACCACCCAGAGAAAGAGAAAGAAAGAAAGAAAGAAAGAAAAAAAGAAAGAAAGAAAGAAAGAAATTAAATACCACATATTTATGCTTGTTTCATTTTTTTTTTACTTAAATGAAATTAAATAATTCTACTTATTTATGCCATTTTCATTGTTATTTTAATTAAATTAAATAATAATACTTATTCACACCATTTTCACTATTTTTAATAAAATAAGATACTTAACAATTGCAATACTGTTATTTTACTTAAATTAAATTGATGAAATTAAATAATACTACTTATTTATGACATTTTAATAGTTATTTTGCTTTAATTAAAGAAAAATACATTTCAAATAAGAAAGAAAGAAAGAAAGAAAGAAACAAAGAAAGAAATCCCAAAGAGAACACAGAGCAAATAAGTGTAACTATTAGGAACGAATGTACTGATGATGTAAAATATCAATGAAAAAGGGGATGATGCAGTGAAAAAATGAAATGTGCAATCAGGTCATCATGCAGGATTCTTACCAAAGAGGGAAACCCTGTGTCTCACCAGACCGGCCAACTTACAGAAGATACTGAGATAGAAAATACATAGATAGAAAAAGAAGAAAAATAGAGGGATGGAGGGTTGGGAAAGAGGAAATGGCATAAAAGGGAATAAAAGGGTGAGGTTAAGATGATGGAAAAGTAAGAGCAAAACAATGTGATCCGTAAAAGATAAATGTAAAAAAAAGGATGAGGGAACCCGTGGGAAAATACTCCGGAAAGGGGCAGAGAGAAAACCACAGGCAAGAAGAAGTGTGAGGAGCAGAGAGGATGTGACAGGTCGCAACATCAAAACTAACATCATTTAAAAATGTTCTGTAAACATTCACGTAATCAAATGAAATCTTCAAGGTACATCAAATCTGACTTGGTTACCACAGAAAATGGAGCTCTGTAGCATTAGTTACCTAGCAATCATCTCCTTCTCTTTGTTAGAGGCATGCCCACCACTGCCCAGGACTTTAGCAGGTGTGGACAGGAAATACAGGCAGTGATTCTTAAAGTACTGGTTTACCAGTGGAAGTAGAATCTACATGAAGAGAATATAAAGAGGAAGAGCAAAGTTTAAGAGGCTGTGATCCGTAGGATGGAAAGTCTGTATCTCTTCCATCTAATTCCCTCTGAGCTGTTTTATTCAGCATGCACTCATATTCCGAACAAAGGTGTCTCACCTTGGCAAAGAATTTAATCTCCTGTTCGTGAGGGGATTTCTCGACTCTTCCACTGCTCACAACAGCCTCTGGAGTAACAAATACACAAGTAACATTAAAAAATACAACTTCAAGTGCAAACCTACATCTACAGTTCTTTGGATCTAAGAAATGTATCTATGGATCTATGAATGTATACCAAGATGTGCAATAAACTCCTGGGCAATCTCCATCCACTTCAACAGCTTCTGCAGGAACCCATAAGCGAAACGCTTCTCAATAGAGGAAATCTCCTGTTCCATGTCCTTCAAACCTCTGGAGAAGAAAAACAAAATAAGGACAAAGCACATTAAGATCACCTCATTACAAGCCAATTCAACATGCTTTAAAAAAATAATGTATGATTTCTATGTCATTATTTCAGTATATATATATATATATATATATATATATATAATGTATTAATGAAAATGTATATGTAAATGTATGATATTTATAATATATATGATATGATATGTAAAAATGTATTTATTATATATGTGTGCAGTATATATAGACATTAGTAATCGTTTATTTTGACGTTTATGTATTCTGAAGTCTGTGTAAATCCCTGGTATGTACTGTTACTCAATTAGCTATTCCTTCCAATGTGAAAAATGGTGTTTAGACCAGTTTGTACAGCAAATTATGAAGGTAGGAGAAGGAGAAGCAGTTTTTCTGATAATTTGTGTATTATGTGATTTTAAAACATGCAAGAACCTAGAACAGGGGTCTTCAATGTATGGCCCGTGAGCCAACATTGGCATGGAGAGGGATAATCACTGACACGTGACGTGAGCAATAGCAAAAGAGGTGTGCGTGTGTGTGTTATAGTTCAATATAATCCCTCGAAGCTGAATACAGATGTATATTTTGCTGTAATCCTTCTTTATACTCACACTGCCTGGTTTATTAAGTTAGGAGCTATAAATACTATTAAAGTGTTTGAATTAACCTGCACTAGTCAGCCGTTGTGCTTAGTTTCGGCAAATGTTTCACATGACATTTTACATTTTATTATGTATTTGTTGCTCTTATCTTTCAGCAACCCCCCCACCCCACTCACCCACCCACACACAAAAACACTATAAATGTTGGAGATTTTCAAGTCAGTATACAGAGTTCTTTATATTCAACACACAAATCGCAATGATGGTGATGTGCGAACTACAACATTTATACACACATACCATAAACTTTTAAAAATGGTTATGTATTACATGTATAAATCCTACATGTATACAATTATGGCACAAAAGGTTGCTGACCCCTGACCTAAGAAGAAGAATTGGAGCCATGTTGGGAAGTACAGTCTACAAAATTTGTGTGTAAAATAAGTCTTTCTTGTTCACAGGCTCTCAGCATTCCTCAACTACTGCCAACTACCTCAACTACTGCCAAATAACAGCAACAAGAATTGGTAATTTTAGACTCTAGTCACTATAACATTCTTGTTGTACGGCATCAGTTGTGTACCTGGTGACAGCGTATCCATTTAACTGAAGGAATTTGAGCAGGTCTTGGGCTTTCTCTCTGTCTCTTGTCTTCTCTTTGGCCGTCAATGTATCATATGGTACCAACAAAGGATGGGTGCCACCACCTATTAACACAAAAAACACAAAAAACTAGGAGACAGCCCATGGGTTAATTTCATGAACAATACATCTGAACATTATTTTGTGCAGTAAACATGATACGCTGAATAAAATAAACAATTATACCCTTGGCTTGCAGCTCTATCTTTTTCTTGCGGCCCCAAGTGTTATGATAATTCTCAGCAAGCTGCTCTGCCATGGACTGAACAAAGGGAAACATGAGAAGTGAATCAATCACAAGGGTTTCTGAATACCAAAGTTATAGTCTTATACTGAATGAATATTAATACTATACCTGTAGCTCTCTGGACAAGGCCATGCCTGTCAGTTCCACTGGCTGGGGAGAGTATCCCTGGCTGGGATCATAGGTGGCCTGCAGGAGATGAATATATAGGTACGGATAATGGGTTCATAAAACATGCAATTTCCATCTTCTTTGTTTCATCTCTCTGTTACCTGAGCAGTCTGGGAGATCTTCCTGGTGGCCTTCACTTCAGTTTTCTCAGTTTCTCCATCTCTGGCTTTCTCCAGAGTCCATTCCCATGCCAGCATGGCCTTGATGGACTCTTTAATGGGCCAGCGATAGATCTCTTTATCCTAGAGAGAGAATTCATAAGAGAAGTTGACCTTGTTTCTGGAAAACCAACTGTAACGTCCAACTGACAAAGAAGATTCAAAGAACATCCATTCAGACCTTCTCTGAGAAAGTCTTGTACGGCCGCAGCATGGGGTGAGTTTTGCTGTTCTCATCTAGAACCTCACCATATGTCCAGTTGTTTTGGATCTGGAAGATGGAAGCCAAAGGTTGCAAAGGTTGTTCCCAGTCCCACAATGCTTTTGGCTTTCACAAATGAGCATGAATGCTGATACTAACCTTCTCAAAGGCCCATTTATCATGCGTGTGCTCAGCATATTTGTTAATGAAGGCATCGAGTCTCTCAGGAATGATGGTGCTGCAAAAAGGAAACATAATCGTTCAGTTGCTGTTGTTCATTCGAATACAAATCTCTTTCTTTTCTTTTTTTTGACTCCCTCAAAACAATTCTTTCTGTTAATGTCAATGAGTTTAAATGTGATCAGCTATGGATGGATTTTTTTTTACCCCATTCAATGTGACTATACAACTATATAACATAAACCCATTGTTTCACAGACAAGGCTTAAGCCTAGTTCTAGACTAAAATGTGAGTCTGAGCGGTTTCAACTGAAAGAAACTTGCACCAACTGATCTTAAAACATATCAGTGCCTTTGTTTTGTCTCAAGATGCACACCAGTAATGTTTTTTCTAAGGCACATTTATAACAAATTACTTAAATGTCCTAATTGAACTATGGCCTAATCCTGGCTTAGTCTAAGCCCTGTCTGTGAAACCAGGCCATAAACATTTTAATATTATAATACACAAATAATATTTTTAAAAGTACTTAATAATAATTACTGTTGTTGGTTACCAGTTTTCATTGTTAACTATTTAACTACAGCTTTTGCCTCAATAAACCCCTAATTTGCAGCTCATTAATAGTTAGTAAGGTAGTTGTTAAATTTTGGTATGGGGTAGGATTATTAAAATTGTTATGCAGAATAAGCCAGAATAAACAGCCAATATGCTAGTGATACGCATGCTAATAAGCAACTGGTTAATAGTGAGAATTGGTCCCTAAACTAAAATGTTACCATAAATCTGTATAAATACATTAAATCAGATACCTGAAATATACACAATGCTCATATATAAATGCAAAGATGCAAAATTAATACTGTAACTGAACTAGCTGATCATTTTCTCACTTTGTTGTCTCCACTGGTTTGGGGTCAAAGTTTCCCTCAGCGTCGACAGATGCTTTCTTCTCAGTCATAGATGAATAGCTAGCATCCACATAGTCTGGAGGGATGGCACCCGCAATGGCACAGATGCAGAGCATGGCGATCTTAAACAGCTCTGCATCAAATTTCTACAGAGATGAGATGGCATGTAAGTGTACACAGGCATTTCAGTTCGAACTTGTCAGTTGAGACTATCCATGTTTGTCAAACCTTGTGTGCGAGGGACTCAAAGATGCCCCAGAAGAGTTTGCGAGAGAGATGCAGCTCTTCCTCTGATGTGACTCCAAAGTTCGCCCATCCATTTGGCAGGCAATAATACTTCCAGCAGCGCTCATAGTGATTGGTCAACAACTAAATGAAGTTAAAGCACAAAATATGAGCACAAGAAACAAAAACAAAAATCAATGCAACTAATTAAACGAACTATACTTGCATACCTTGAGGGGCATCTTGGCATACTCGTTTAAGATTGGCACATCAAACACCAGCCTTCTCAACAAATGCTGCAACATAGATGGCCGCAAATACCTAAAACACACAAACATTACTTTATTAGCTATAAAATTTTAAGTTGGCATTTCTACATTTGAGTGCAGATGTTGCAGATTGAACTGACTTGACAAGAGACATAAGGCAGTCCTCGATGACGTCCCTCTGGGCCTTGGTAAGGGCACGGCCACGGGACAGTCTGTAGATGGTGTGCAGCATTGAGTCGATCATGATGGCACGGTGGTCTGTTCCAGCGAACAGTGGGGCACACTTTGTGAGCAGAGGAAGCACAGCTGAGCACAGGTAACGGTTTAGAGCCAGAGCCATCTCTGTGGTGCTGAATGCCGCCTGATGGAACATCACAATTAAGATCAGTGTTTATATTATGTTATATATATTATATTATATTATATTATATTATATTACATTATATTATATATAGCTCACCGTATCTAGGGAGGCTGAGGCTCTCATATCGGGCAGGAAGCCCACCTCTAGCACATGCAACAGGAAGTCCTGGTTATCAATGCCATACACTCTGTCCAAGAAAAGCACCATGGAGGCTTTGTGGTCTGGCACGAAACTCGCTGACATTTTTGGCTCAACAATCTGATCATCTATGAAAAGTAGCACAGGAAAAAATGAGAAGAGTTGAGTACACAGAAGTTGCATGGAAGCCTGTTTATATCTCAAAGTAAAAAGTAAAACAGACAGAAAAACAAAGATTAAAATAAGAAATGGTCACATGGTGACCATTTTGTGTACCTTTGCCAAAGGTGGGGATCTGAACTGGAAGGCTAATGACTCCCACCAGGTCTTCAATGGGTACGAGAGACCTCAAGATAGCTCTGATTCTCAAAGCTTCACCTTTACCTGCTTGGATCAACTGTGGGTAAAGAACAGGATTACAATTGAAGTCCATATGAAATCTGTAAAAAAATATGACCTTCATTTTATACACTACCATTCATAGAAATAAACATCATAGAATATAAATAAACATTTTAAATTCTAATATTATTTCACAATATTACTATTTTACTATATTTCGATAAAATAAATGCAGCCTTGGGGAGCATAAGAGGCTTCTTTCAAACATTACGTTTGTCAGACTCCACAGGTAAATTATTCAAGTTGTTTTACTTACATGCATCTCAGGAGCACAGCGACCCAGCAAGTCAATAAGAGCAGAGTAAAATGACATGACAGCATTTCCAAGATGTACTCTGTTCTCTTCATGTTGCTCCTCCCCTCCAAACCTGTGAACCAATCACAAGGGACAAAAAATGGAGCATATAGATAAAACTATATCAATGATAAATTGTTTAAATGAAAAGGAAAATTCAAGCATTCATTACATGAAACGTCTGTCCTTTTTAGGAGTTGGCCCATCTCTGGCAGGGTCCTCAGAGATCTTAATGGCCTCTTCGATGGCAGCTAACAGACCTGCACCACCCTCTCCTCTCAGAGCGGGGCCGAAGCACTCAGGCCGACGAATCAACAGACGAACAACCACGTTGGCGTTCTCCTCTACGCTCTCACCTGCAGGGGGAGACACAAACACAAAGTTTAATAATGAACGCCTTCAAACAGAGGAGTTAGAAACAGAATTGATTTAATATGCTCACCATTTACAAACACAGCAAAACGTAGGAAGTCCAGATATCTCTCTCCTCCACCTGGATTCCATCCGATGTCAGGGTAGCCTTTAGACAGAAGCATGGGGCACATTCGAAGGCCGCATCCAGCCAGATACGTCACCACCTGAGTAGCACAGTAAACATGATATTTTTTTTTAATCGCACTGTCCCATAAAATAATTAGCTACAAAATACAGTTTGTTCAGAGCATTACCATCTCAAGGTCTTGCTCTTGCAGCGCCAGTGCCAGCTCATTGTTGTCAATGCAAGATGCAGCAGCAACATCCAAAGGAGTAGATCCACGCATTCCTAAAAAGCAACACATAAATTAAAATATATATATATATTTAAAAGAAAAGAAAAGAGTAATAGTATGGTCCTAAATTGTATTATTTTTTATATTATTTTGATTTTTTTAAGGACCTAGATGCATTACGTAATTCTTTACCAAACTCTGTAACACTTTACAATAAGGTCTCATTTGTAAAACATTAGCTAACAAACTAACAATGAGCAATATATTTTACAACATTTATTCATCTTTGTCAATGTTAGTTAATAAAAATGCATTTGTTCATTGTTTACTCATGTTAATTGAATTATCCAATGTCAACAGATACTTTGATTCTAAAAATGTATTCGTAAATGCTAACAATGATAAATTCTTCTACAACATTAGTCTTATTTAATGTTAACTAACGTTAATAAATGGATTCTTATTGTAAAGTGTTACCAAGAACGATAACTACAATGATAACCATGTCAGCATCCACATCAACACACAATGAAGTTCTATTTATTATAAGTGCACACTGCAGTTATGTCATCTACCGATTTAAATGTGCAAGCTTTTTGAACTCTGGTGGATTTCAATTGGCTGTCAATGTTTTTATCATTCATCAGCTGGAAAAAATCATTCTGAAAGTGATTTCAATGAAATCTTTCCTCAGTGTTGTTATATTGTTATAGCTGTGCTGTGGACTTCCCTATTCTCATAGAATTAGAGTTATTGTTATAGTTATCATTGGTGTGAACAGGCCTAACAATAATACAAATGTGTCAGCTAAGTTTTACAAAGCCACCAACCGAGTCCAATGCCACTGTTCTGCAGCAGGTATGAGAGGTGGTCAAACATGGAACGCTGGTTCTGACGGCTGATCCTGCAGAAGTAGCACAGGAAGCGACAGCAACTGGTAACCATTTGCGGGAATCGTATTTCCTATAGACAGAAAAAAGTTTGTGTCCCTTTACATCAGTTTCAATGACAGAGTTGGATCCTTGTCCAAGAAAAACAGTATTAAACATTCAGTATATA